TCCACCTCAGGTCTGAATTAAGGTAGAATATCCATGGGAATTTTCAGCTTAGCATCTTATCCGGTAAGAGAAATAGGCACTTCGCTATAAATATCTTTAAAATGCCCCAAGTCGTGACGCAAGTACAAATCGAGACTCAATTTAGGCACATTATTTTTTCATAAGGGTGATAAATATTCGGACAAAATTTCAGCTACTGTTTCCGGCGAGTTTTCGGGTTGACACAGTGTCAACTGCGAACTTTGGCGTGACCGTACGTCTGGTGCAAACATGCACGATAGCTGAATTTGAAATCTTTAGCTCACACATGAAAGTTATCCCTCCAAAGTTTCGGCACTCTATCTTGTCTGGTTCTTGAACTCGTTTCCCGCCGAAGAAATTCGCATATTTTTCTCGGAGGTCCGTACGCATGATTTCAAAACAAGAGGGTGACACATGGAATGGGAATGCGCCCCCAAAATTTCAGCCTTCCAGCTTTCCTGGTTGCTGAGTTGAAAGTGGGTAACAAAGTCCGCTCGTCCCTGAGCCAACAGACATAGATACACGCACATACGCAGACGACCTCTCGACAATATACGTTTTTGTTCACTGTAGGAGCGCTATAGTGCTGCACGGCAAAACGCATAACAAAGCCCACTTTATTATGCATTTTGTGCTGTGTAACAGCAGTACAAAACGCATATTGTCACGGGGTTGTTTGTTTTTGTGTGTGTGTGTGTGTGTGTGTGTGTCCGAGTGCGTTTTGTCCCGCATTTTCAACTCGGGAACCACGGAAACTGGGACTGAAATTTTGGTAGAATGTCCTCCGCCCATGTGTGACCCCGCACATTTAAATTCGGCCTTCTCTTACCGGTGGGTGCCATGTATGGCCCCGCGAAAGCTTTAGCGGGGGGAATTATTATCTCGAGAATCACGAAAGCTAGGAGGCTGAAATTTTAAGGTAATGTGCGCTGCCCACATACAACCCCGCAAATTTAAATTCAGCCTTCGCGCGCACTCGGGTGTCACGTCCGGCCTCATGAAAGCTTTAGCGGGGAAATTATTTTCTCGTGAATCACAAAAGCTAGCGAGCTAAAGTTTTATGGGTCCTCTGCTCAAATACGGCTCCGAAAATTTAAATTTAGCTTCCCCCTAGGTCTCGGTACCACATAGGAACCTGTGAAAGTTTTGGTGGGGGAAATTACTTTAGGAACCGCGAAAGCTGGGAAACTGAAATTTTAGGGTATTGTCCTCTGATCATGTACGATCTCGCAAATTCAAATTCAATTTTCACATACTTCTGAGTCTCAGCGTCCCCATGAATGTTTGGCGGGAAAAATTATTAGCCGGAAACCAGAAGAGGTAGAAGGCCGAAAACTCCAGGAGGATGTTTTCTGCTTATACAGGGGCTAAACAAGCTCAAATTTAGTTCCCAAGTATGTCGGAGTCCTCACGCACGACCGCATAAAAGTCTTGGCGCGAAAGCCACTCAAAAGCCGGAAAATCAGGAGATTGATTTTGGAAGGATGTTTACCGTACAAGGTTTTAGTGGGGAATTTCGCAACTTAGGAACCAGACAACATTTCAACTATTTTTGCACAGATAAAATGCAAAGCAATGGAAATCCTTGGCAGGAAAACATTCGCTGGACGGAACTGCGCAAAAAACACGGTCGCACCGGCTACCCTGGTGCGCGCTGCTATTTATTATTAGATGATACAACTTCGGACGTAGCAACTACAACAAATTTGCTCGGGGCTTTGGCTACGCGAAAGTGTGGCAGTGGTGGAGCGGTCGCCGATCAAGGCTTGTTTCGGAAATGACCGAGGTCATGTAATTTGTTGAATAGAGGGGGAAGGGGCAGGAGGGAGGGGGAATCGGTTTTTATGCGTTTTTGCCGTGCAGCGCTAGAGCGCTGCAACAGGCAGCAAAAGCGCATACTGCAACGACCCTGTCAGTGTATGTGTGTGTGTGTTTGTTTGTTTGTTTGTGTGTGTTCGTCTGACCGGGTATTTCAACTCGCCAACCACGCAAGCTTTGAAGTTGGAATTTTGCCAGTGTGTTCCATAGCCAAGTGCTACCCTAGGATCACAGTATTAACTCTCGCGCACGTCTGGGCCTCGCGTACGAGCACGTGAAAGTTTTGGCGGGAAAA